TGCTCATATTTCATCACTGACCGGACTATCTCATCACCAATCAAATTTCGACAGTTTGTACTTCATGTAAGACTTGTCCTTTATAATTTGGGGACTGGGTCGATTTGTGTTTGTGGAGGGTGATGTATATTCCCCCTAAAAGAACAAAGAAACTTGGGCTAATGTAAAAATGAGGGAATATTATTTGTATTCCCTAGGTTGGGAATTCACTTTTTCTTCTATCCCTAAAGAATTTACCCAGATCTTGTACTGAGATCTTGGGCACCTGGCCAAAAGAGTAATCCCTTCAAACTTTAAATTCAACAGGAAATAAACATAATCACTGCAGACTCTTAAAATGTCTGATCAAGAGTACAAATTGGAAGAGCTCAATTTTTTCCGAATCTGCTACATCACCACCAGCATCATCCGAGATGGCCTAGAAACAGTGTTTAAACAGGAGTGGGACAGAGTATATGGAGGAAGTTTAGGGACATGGAGGGACACTGCAAAAAATGGTCAGGCTCTTTTCAACATGGAATCCCCAAGAAGCAGGCAAAGAAATAATGGACTTTTAAGAATTATACAAAATGGAAACACAAAGGAATGGGATTCAACATGTTTTTTCTTTGCAATTCTGTATTCAGACTCGCTTGGACCTTTTGTGAACCCCACAGTTGCCTCTGAAGTTGACGTGCTACGAAGCTTTCGCAATACTTTTGCACATTCTTTGCAAGCCCATATTTTGGAAGCTGAGTTTCAGGCCAGTGTCACATTAGTGACAAATGCTTTTACAGCTTTGCATCTGGATACCACACAGTTACAAAACATTAGTAGCCAAAAGAGCTTCCCAACTGAGGAACTTCAACAGCTTCAAGAGAAAGTCACAGTTTTAGAGGAAGAGTTAGGTGAACCCAAATCTTTCATGTGTCTCCCACCAAGGCCATCCCACGAGGTTATTGAGCGAAAGACAGAAACTAACGAAATCCTGCAAATGTTTACCAACCTTCAGAATGACAATGACGATGCCTCAAATATTGTAACAGTTTATGTCCATGGAAATCCAGGATGTGGTAAAAGTCAAATTGCTTTTGACGTGGGGAAAAAGGTCTATGATGAAGCAATTCTCAACCTTGGCAAAGGCAATTGTACATTTGTAATGACCTTAAATGGAGAGAGTAAGCAGTCTATGCTAGATTCATACCTCAAGTTTGCCCGTGAACTTGGTGTTACAGAATACGCCCTTAGTAGTATTATTGGAAGAGATTCCAATTTGAAAGTCGATGAAAGAATCTCCCATCTTAAAACGCTTGTTTCGACCAAAGTAAAGGATTATTCCACATGGCTGGTGATAATTGACAATGCTAATGATTTGGACAGCCTGATGGCCTGCTGGCCCGATGAACAGTGGCACGGATTTGGAAAACTTCTTGTTACCACCCAAGACAGTATCAATGTGCTGTTTGCCGACCCTTCTTGCAAAGATATTTCTTTAAGTGAAGGAATGCACATGGATGATGCATTATTTCTTCTTAGGTCCATCTGCGGTTTTTCTAGTGAGAATGAGGAAGAGGAGCATTCTGTTATTGAGGAAGTAGATTTTCAGCCATTAGCCATTGCCTGTGCAGCAATCTACGTTCGTAACCTCTTGCATATTAGTACAGTGGGAAATTCCACATGGAAGAATTACCTGAAGAAAGTGAAGATGGGAAAGAGACATATGACTGAGAAGATTTATGAAAGGGCAAACAGGGGGTACCGGTTGTCCATGACTTCTGCTGTAACGATAGCAGTGGAAAAATTAGCCCAAAATGAAGTGTTTAGACATGTGGTCCACTTTCTGGGTTTAGGAGCACCAGAACCTATTGACCTTGGTATCATTGTCAGTTTTGTTACAAAACAAGACCCAGCTCTTGATGAGGACATAACGGCTGCTGACATTGCCAAATGCTCATTGCTGATTCCGCTAACTTCAGATGATGCTCCAGGAACTCGTATAGGTGTGCATAAGGTTGTCCATGATGTCTTTAAAAGACATATTCTTGACAAGCTCAGTATAGAGGTGTTTACAGTTCTAACCAAAACATACATCGAGACATTATCTCCTCTTGTACAACACATTCCTCTCCAGCAAGACCTTGAATTTCACTTTTTCTCCAAAATGATTGCCCCTCATTTAAAAATGTTTATCAGTAACTTGAGGTCACCTCTTGATGTGTCAAGCGACCAAAGCAAAGAGGTCATAAACACACTACTTAATTTTGGCCACATATGCCTTGTACACCACTATCTAATTCCAGCAGAGAGGTATTTTGAACTCGCCCTTGAGATCACCATTAAAGAAGGGGAAAGTAATGATGTAGACAGAAGTAAAGTGAAGGCAACCATTCTAAATTGTCTAGGTGATGTGCTTTGCATGCAAGGCAAGTTTGAGAAGTCTACAGACCACCATCAGCTTGCCCTGGCTCTGTTTGAAAGCCTAAATCCACTTGCGCCAACTGCAGATATTGCGGATTCTCTGATCAAACTTGGAAACATTTCCTTCAGTGATGGTCACTTTGAAGAGGCCAAAGATTACTACAACAAATCTCTAGAAATCAGACAAGGGATTTTTGGTGCAGATCACATCACTGTTGCTTCTTGCCTTAATAACCTTGGATGTGTCTACAGCACACTGGGTGACCACCAAAGTGCAAAAGACTTTTATCAAAGATCACTGGAGTTAGAAGAGAGGATGTTCGGCAAAATGCATAACCGCGTTGCTGACAGTTTGAGTAATTTAGGAATTGAGTTTAGCGAATTAGGCTTAACAGATGAAGCCTTTCACTACCACCACCGGGCCATTGAGATGAGAAAGGAACTTTACTTTCCGAATCATTTTTTGATCTCTGAATCTTACAACAACCTTGGTATAATGCATAAGGGCATGGGTCAATTTGAAGAAGCAATGCATTGTTTTGAAGCAGCGTTGTGCATCAGAGAGAAAGTGTTGCCCTCAGAACATCCGGTGACCGCCGACTTACTAGACAATCTCGGTCAGCTGTGTATGGAACAGGGTGAACTAGAGAAGGCCAAGGAATTTCACTTCCGAGCGTGTGACATTAGAATCAAAAGTTTAGGAAGCGAGCATTGTAAAGTTGGCGACAGTTTTCTCAACCTTGGCCTGGTTCATAAGCACTGCTTTGAACTTGATGATGCAACCAGATTTTTAAACAAAGCTTTGGAGATCTACTCCAGTTCGTACCCAAGTGATCATCACCCGAAAGCGTTGGCGCAAGAATGCCTTCAGCGTATCTCACAGCAACAAGTCAACATAGATAACCCAGGTCATGGGCATACTGTGGATGCTCACTCCACAGTTCGGGCTCCATTTTACCCGGCTTTTAAGGGGATATCAAGTATCTGGCATGACTTACACTGGGGAAGGTGCGTAAAGCATTCTTCCAGCGACCCTTTTCTGCTTCTTCTGATGCTTGTCGTGCTTGCTGAGCTTGTCACAGACTGGTTGAAGCTGAAATAAGATTTCTTAATAGGATTGAAATTTCTGCTCTACGTGTGTGTAATATCTTTGCACTATATTTGGGCTACTGCTTCCAATCGTATGTCAAAAGCATGTCTGTTTATTGAACGTGCCAGCTCCACAAGTCCCTTGTTTTTCACCCCTCTCCTGTCCCAACGGACAGGCACACCATGTTGATAACGTTGATAGAAGTACTATATACAGTTTTAGCGGAGCTCCACGCTCGCCAAGCGCACGCAGCGGAGCACCATGGGTAGGAAAATTTGTTAATCTACCCAGCCGAGAAATTTTGGTAATGACGTAACCGTTTGCCCGCCTTCCCGACCGACCGTCCGCACCACAGGCATATAAAAAATAACTCAACCAAACCCAAATGCAGCTCCAGGTTATTTTGGTGGGAAATCGCATAGCCACCCGCGTCTTGTGAAGCAGAGACGACTAAAGAATCACTAAAGACGAAAACGGAAAGCGGAATTTGTTTCTATATCCTTGTTGACTAAATTATTATGCTTAGATCAATTGTCATGTCCACAAATTTGGAATATTATAGAGAAAGAGATAGACAGAGAAAAAGAGAAAGTAGGCGACAGGCCAGCGAAGCTCAAAGAGAAAAAGAGCTACAGAGAGCTACAGAGGGAGATAAGGAGTCATTTGCTGGAAGAACAACATGAAAATTTTGTAGCGGCGGTGATTTTTTCCTAGCGGCCACCAAGGTGAAAATGAGCGACAGTGAAAAAAAGTGAACAAGAACTTATTAACAGGTACGACATTTCCTCCATAAAACGTGTAAAGTTCTAGGAAGTTTCTGGAAGTTTCACATTGTGGTCGTGCAAAACAGCAGCAAAGAAATGTACAAAAAAGTGTGCTGTACTTGCAAAGTTGTTGTTTTTTGCTAAATAGACCTATGTTGTTTTTTAACCATTCTCGTTGCCTTCACCGCTTAGCACAACATCATTTTATATTTTGTTTGAACAAACTATAAATATAAAAATCGAGGGCTTTGCTTTTAGTCCTGGCTAAATCTATATATTATTATTTATTCAAAAAATTTCTCCATTTCCGATTGGCTTAAATCTCCCCGCTTATTCTTCATAACCAGCAACCGTTAACCAAGTGACGAAAAACCTCAAAGATAAGTCACTTTCACAGATAATTTTTCAGAAAAAGGGACAATAGAAGGCAGGTTAGCTCAACTGTTTTGGTAGACTTGGCAAACATGGCTGGAAATTTCACACACTTTCTCCGAAGAAAAAATGGCCAAAGTCATAATACTCCCTACAACATAGCAAACACAGCAAAAATACCCTTCGACAGACGACAAAGACTGTTTGAAGAATATCTGCTGGACTAAACATCCCCTCATATCCTGAATTTGCCATAGGAACAGGCAAATGTTATGAAGACAGGAACTATACATCAATCGAAGAAAGCATTTTCTTAAGTGTGGAAAATATAAGCATAGTTTTAACAGAAAAAAACAAATTTGATTGGACTTTTCTATGAAACAAAAAATTATGCGGATCTAGGAGGGTGCTATCCACCTAGGCCAATAATTCTTCGTATCACACTCAGCCTCATCCAATTCAATAATTGCTAAATAAGAGTATCTCTAATAAATCAATGTGACCTAGTTCTCTTTTTAGCAAGTAAAATCCAAAGACAATTTTATATATTAAAATTAAAAACTTGGCCCCTGAAAGCTTTGGGAGAAAAAAAGGAAAGAAATTGTTATTTATCCCTTAACTTCTGAAAGATTTCTTTTATTTCATATATTTGTACTTTTCACAATATGGTATACTTTGAAGGACAGAGAAACTTCTTTGAGACATATCACTTGAGGTTCATTTCTATTTTGAGAAATGCCTTCAAATTTTCATCGGGAATTTCCTCTATAGCAGCTCTAGTAGCTCTGTCATCACTATAAAGTTTTAAGAGCTCTTCTGCATGTTGTATCATGACACAGTTTTGACATCCACTCATGCAACACAAATCCAGAGGGGGAGGGGGTGGTGTTACTGGTGGCTTGTTCTCAGTATCGACATCACTGTGGGATTTTCCTGGCAATGGACCTCCTGGGTCTGTTGTACCTATGTAATGTCAACATTAGTAATTTGATCCTACTATGTTAATGGTGAACGATGTACCCCTATATTTTTATTTTTACTACGTACATGGATAGTGATATTAATTTACATTAACATTACCTGATGTTTATTACAATATATACAAGGTAAGGTCAAAATGTCTTTTGGTATAACCTCTAATGGACCTATCTGATGGCAATTTATGTACATTTTTTGCAATAACAAAGATTTGCAAAGATTTGACTGGTGTAAAGAATGTAAATTATTTTGGGGAGTACAAAGTACTATAGCAATAAATTCTGGGAATTGCTGAACAGTCACAAAAAGCACATTAAATTTCTTTGTAACAAAATTAACAATGGTAGCCTTATGGTCAAACTCACAAAACCATGCAAAGGAAAACAGCAAAGACTGAGAAAAAAGGTAAAGGTTTGGCAAGGAAACTTTTGACATTGTGTCCAGTCTCTGCACACTTTTTTCTTGCTTGTTTTTTATTAATTTTTGTACCTACACTCCACTATCTGAATACCTGGAACCAGCTAATTTCAGAAATATTGCTGATTCATAGTTTCCTGAGTTTCACCATCAGGTGCAAGAAAAGGGTAAAAATAGATAGTAGCACAAAGTATATTTTAACATCACAGGCCTGATCAGGTTCAGTTATACGAGCTATATCAGCATAATAGTATTCTTAAGTAATGGTAACAGGACTGAGTGGAGTCCAATTCGGTCTGTAATCATACAAGTGATTAACAAAATCGGACGACCGCGTAGCGGGAGTCCGATTTGTTTAATCACGAGTATGATTACAGACCGAATTGGACGACACGAAGTTCTGTTACCAATTAATCATCACTTTAACAAAATTTGTGATATAATAAGCTATTTTTTAAATCAAAACACAAGAAATTCGAAATTTTGTTTTGCTAGCAGTGAGAAAAAAAGCCATTTAAGCGCGCGCGTGATGGCGCGTACTGTCCAATTACTTAGGCATGACGCGCACTGTCCAATAAAACTGTCCAATTAAGGCTGAAATCAGGGCAGTTGATAGCCAATCAGATTTGACCATTTTGTTATAGTTATGATTATGATGGTAATAGGACTGAGTGGAGTCCAGTTTGGTCTGTAATCATACAAGTGATCGACAGAAGGAGATGAGAGTCTGATTTGTTTAATCACGAGTATAATTACAGACCGAATTGGATGACAAGAAGTTCTATTACTAATTAATTATGACTATAACAAAATCTGTGATATTTTAGGCTTTTTTCACTGAAAATGCAAGAAATTCTCTGAGTTTTCTTTTTTTTGCTGGCAGTGAAAAAGCCATTGAAGCGTGCATGTGATGGCATGTACTGTCCAATATTACTTAGGCATGATGTGTACTGTCCTGTTACACTGTCCTACGAGTGCTGAAATCAGGACAGTTGATAGCCAATCAGATTTGACAATTTTGTTATAGTTATGATTGATAGTTATTGGGAAATAGAGTGTAAATAGCTTACTTTTCTTCAGTGGTTCTTTTGTGTGAAGAAACAGAGATAAAATGCCCTGTCAATGAATAAAAACCAAACGTTTAAAAGGTAATTTTATTAAAGCAATATTTACAGTGGGAAAGTAACCCCTAAAGGGCATCAAAGATGATGAAGCTATCAGTGTTAATATTGATATTGTAAGTTTATTTGAAGGGGAACCCAGTGGAAAGGTGAACCTCACTTCTGGATTCTCCTTGCAATTTGCTTTGTGTTTCATATCTATCAAAAGCTGTGGAATTTGACATGACATCATGCCGACCATCTGCAACATTGGAGGCAATGCCATGGCAGCAAATTTCAATTAACCAAATTAACAATTTCAACAATCAAAGTTAATCACTGACTAGGAGGTCCCCACTTTATGTGTGGCAGTTAAAAAAAA